TCGCAAGGCTATATTATCCGCATTTTACAGGATTTCGCAACGAAACTTTGGAATATTACTAATTTTGTGATGCTCTTTCAAGCTGTCATGAAATTTTTGTCTAGACTTGTCTAGATCAAAATTTAGTCTATAATGCATATTTGGTCCATTGCTTGCCCCGAGATATAACGCTGTCCCGGGTTCATGTGAACAGCTAGGGCCTTTTTGTCTAGATCGAAATTTTAGTTATAAGGGGAAAGGTCCATTGAACCAATGGTCCTGCGATCCCGGTGCAGCGCTCTAACCAACTAAGGGAGATGTCTGCAGATGTACAGCTGATTGTGAATGTACATTAATGATTGTCAGAAAAACTAGTTTTTTTTGCTCGTCCAAACATATTAAAAACTTCTATATCGTAATTATTAAATAATAATATTAGACTCCTACATGGTATAGATGATCAAGCGGCCTGGACTCTAATCATTGAAGCATGCAATTCAATTCAATTCAGTTCAGTTCAATTAAATTAAAATCAGTTAAATTCAATTTTCAAAGCAATGCAATTTAACATTCGATTCAATTTAATTTAATTCAATGCAGTTCAGTTCAATTTAATTCAATGCAGAAACCTAATAGCTTTTGACTCTATATAGTTTAAAAAAAAAACTCAAACGATAAATATTTCCTTCTTCTCAGTCTATATAATCAAAAGAATTTCATCTCCAAGACAGATTTTCAATCTTTAAAGGCAGAGACATATATGCACCGGACGCGATTCGACAACGCGGCGCGATTTTTAAGTTTTTGAAAGTGAATAAAACAGCCCATGCATAAAAGGAAATTTTAAAAGAGACGTAGACCAAATAACTCAAAATGTTATAGCGCTTCTAAATATTTGAAAAACTTAAACCAGGATCAAAGTTATCGGTCAGTGAAAATCAAAAATTGCGCTGCGTTGTCGAATCGCGTCCGGTGCATGTGTCTGGGCCTTTACGAAGTGCGCCGGTCGATTATTTAAAAACGCAAAAGATTCGCCAGACTGTTTGGACATATTATTAATTATAAGTGATTGGAATACGTTTTTCCTCAGACGAAAATTTGATTTATTTTAACAACATCTCCGCATGCTTTTCAATCGGAAAGACCGCGCAGACACTCGTTTAATATTCAGTTTTGGTCGTGAAGACTCGTCCCACAAAAAAGTTGAGCAATGTTTGAAAGCAAATCGAATATAAATTTAAATAAAAAATGTCTGCCTTCTGGATTAAGATAGAAGAGCTGACCTGGATATTCTCATGCATGCTTTGGGTACAGTAGGATTAAGGTTCACTTGACTTATAGGGCCAAGAACGAAGAGAAATATATTCCTGCGCAAAACTGGGGATATTATACTAAAGAGCAAGACTTGCTACAAGTCGCATCGTAGCGTAACTTGTCTCGCATTGTAAGAAATAAAACGATTGAGCGAATAAAACAAAAGGGCGAGCTTGAACTCCTGAACGCAGTAAGGATCCGTACTCTAAAAAGTTGAGCTCAACCACGAGTCAACTTGTAGCAACTGTCTACTGAAGAGTGTTACACCCGCGTCGAACCATCGAAAGGCCATTATGTAGAAGTAGTACATTTAAATAAGTTAAGACACTGCACGAGAGTATAAAATTATACACATAGTCAGTCATAGTCATAGAACCTAAATTTTGCTTCAAAATTAGTTAAAATTTCACTTACTAACAACCTCCTCGCTGACAACCTCAGGTGACTCTCCAAACGCTTTTCCAATAAAACCCCAATACAGAACGGTGATTAATGCGATCAAAATTGCAACAAATTTCATAACGGTCCACGAATTAGGTCCTCGCGCAGACTCGAGTAGTAATTGTCAAATATACGTCCTGAGTCAAAATCCGACTAAAATTTCAAATCACAATGTATAGTACAGTGGCTTTCATACATCAGTGAAGATTTCGGTGTGTGTACAACTTCGTTAACTCTGTGTGAAATAATAAGGCTAACGGTGAGCTTGAGCAGGTGGTGACTTGTAATTAGAAAATCTTCAATGTGGGAGTAACAAATTAAACTGCTCAAATGACTTACTTTTCTTACAATTAAATTTTTGAACCAAATTTCTTTGATCTTTTGACATTCATTTGCTTGAAAAAAAGAGGCATTTAGAGCAATTTAGAAATAATTTACGCGCGTACATTTATATACATCACAGTAGAAATGTAAATAAAATATTATGAAATAGATTGTCTTTAAAAACACATCTCACCTCACATTCCATGTAATGCAACCATTCTCCCATGCAACCGCCTTGAAAAGCTAATGCTTTGTACAAATATATAAAATACGACCACAAGCTAGGATTCAAAGTTTTACTATATTTTATTTTTTATATGTTGTGTTAGCAGCTAGATCGTATAACCTTTTATCTAAACACGTCCAGGCTTTCTCAATTAGCAGACGGACAATATATTAATCACAATAGATGAGATCGAAGCCAAAACATATTACAATATTATGTCAGAATGTATAACTAACTACAAACAAATTGGATTTTCATGTTAGGTTAACTTTTATTTCTGTTCAATCACTTTAAATGCACTAATCGAATTTGGGGTATTATAGTTGAGATATAAAAAAAATAGGATTTGTTAAAAAAATACGCGAACGTGTTATAGACAACATAAAAAATGACGGCTGTCATACAGCCATTCTTCGAAACGTAAACTGTTTAAATATTGTTCGACAAAAACGCCGCTAAGTAAATCCTCGCATGCATCGGAGCAAATATACGGGCATAAAGAAGTAGATATAGAAGAGAAATATAGCCTATATACATGCAATATAGGCTACAATTACACTTTACCCAGATAGCTTTCCAAGCGGTGCGAAAAAGCACCTACTCCGATACGTAATGTATACCGAGGGGTAAATTACTCTGAAAAAAGCGTACGAAGATTTTTAGAAAATCCCGGAAATTTTTCTCGGGATTCTTAATTGGATTTTTTTCCCCAAATTTAAGGGATTTTGGAATTTTTTTCAGCTGATTTTTTCGAAATATTTTCCCTTATTTTTTTTCACCGAACTCTTTCCGAAATTTTTTGCGACATATAATCCGTTGAATTATTTTTAAAACGAAGTAAATCAACGAAGGACATTTTCACGCCAATTCACGATTTAAATGTTTAAATTTGATGGGATTTCTCGATATTGCAATAATTTTGAGGATTTTATTCGGCTTTTTCCAAGTATTTTATGTCATTTGTAGAGATTTCTTGGGATTGCGGGATGAAGTGTACGAAGATTACCCCTTTTGATGAAGTGTACGAAGATCACCCCTCGGAATGTACAACTTTCAGAAGCTGAGCGAAACAACATCTCTCCGTTGCAATAATTCTTCTGAAAATAACGTCCTGCATGAAAGGTTTTTTTTCACGTTGCTATGGAAAGTTATCTGGATACAATTGTAGCTAAAGAGTATATATCCTTTCGAAGGATCCATGCAATCCTGAGAAAAAGGTGCTGGAGGCAAGCCCCATTATATTACGGGGGGCGGGGGACGTAGCAACAGTATGCGGATGTCTTCGAAAGCGAATATACACTATATACACAGTATAGCTTTACATTTTTACAAGTGTTTCTTGTCCGTGCAAGCATCAAAATAAGTCCAAAAGACAGTTTATTCGATACTTTAATACATTTGTGCTGACGTTAGGATGAAGTATACTCGTAAAAAAGATGAAGATATACATTCAATATTAACGTCTTGCAGGTATAATACAGTTAAAAGATAAAAATTCAGTTCAATTCAGTTTAGTACTCAAATTTGCTTATCTATCACTCTGAGGTGGCTCATTTGAAACGAGGAAAAATTGTCAATTGTTGGCTTCCAAGAAACACTTGTCACTAGAAAGAATTGCCCGTATGGGCGATCTATTCTGAAACTACACCCGAGTGACAGACGAGTAACAGACGAGTAACAGGGACTACAGACGAGTAACAGACGACTACAGACGAGTAAATGTTCTAAATACGACATTTTAACAGCATATTGACGGATTGTTTTTAATAAATGATGCAATATTTTTCAAAATGGCGGTCGATGACTGCAGTATATGTGAGATTTCTGTCTTTAGTCGCTTTGCATGTGAAGGTGATTACTGCATGTACTTAGGCTGTTGCGGTATATCGATAACCGATAATTATCAGTTTTTTATAAATACCGAAATTTTCGATATAGCGGAATATCGATATTTTTCGGTATTATCGATATCACGTTTACGGTTGTGTATTTAAATGTCATATCAGGCTTTTTCAAGCGCTGATTGGAGTTATTTCAGAAGGACAAAGACGATCAAAGCTGTTATATCGTGGCTGTTTGGCATCCCTCATTTGAAAACAGAAAATTTTGCATAAAATTAAGCAAATTTTGGATAAAATTAAGCAAAAATACAATCGCGAAAAATATCGATATATCGGGTATTTTTTTTCCGGTATCGACTGCCGGTTTTCGTTTTGTGGTCACGTGACGTTTTCAGTAGCATTACTCAAGTGGGGTAAAAAGTGCGCTACACGTACAATAGCGGCTAAAGACAGAAATCTCACATACTACAGCACTTGGCCAATCGCCATTTTGAAAAATATTGCATCATTTAATAAAAACAACACGTCAAAATGCTGTTAAAATGTCGTATTTAGAAAATTTATTGGTCTGGGCGTATTCTAAAAGCTCACTCACACTCAATGAGTGGAGGTTCAATCTGAGCTTCTCTTGAGTGTCAATGCTGTTTCTGAATAGCTGGAGGGTGAGTAGTCACCGAGTAAGGTATGACACTAGCCCTCCAGCTATGCAAAAACAGCAATGACACTCAAGAGAAGCTCAGATTGAACCTCCACTCATTGAGTGTGAGTGAGCTTTTAGAATATGGGCGTAAAACTATTAGTAAAAAGAAATGAACTAATACTAAACAATTAAACAAAAAAAGGGAAAAATAGAAATTATTCAGTATACGAATATTTCACCCACCGAATTCCTTCTGACACCAGATTTTATTATCCTGAGTATTTGCAGTCCAAATCCATTTCGCGTGGTTTGCGATATTGCTAACCACCTTACTCCATCGACTATCTTGGCCGTCATTCGTCGCAACTTCTTGAGCTACGGGCCAAGAGCTTTTCGCAGTAGAATTTATATCGCTACATTGCCAAGACGAATCCGTCACGTAGCCATTACTAAATTCTGCCAATATTCCTCCTTTGAAATTATTTTTTCTTTCAACTTCAATTGTCACATAGTGTGTATTTAAAGGAAGGGCAAAACTTTCAGCATTTTTCCAATTGCTAAATTGGGACACAAGGATGTTTGCCCCCGGTTCTGCTGTGAACGAGCCCTTATGATCAACGGCCACATAACCAGTTATTTCTAGCGATAGAATACCTTTGGAATGAAAAAACAAAATGTCAGCATAATTTATATCAAATGCATTATTTGGGGGCTAGTGATTATCTAAAGACCTTTGCAGTGGTTCTGCATGATATACACGCGTAAAAATTTCACTTCTTGTAGCAAGTCTGCCAACAAGCAGTTCGCACTGCTTGTCCCTTCGCACTGCATGCTTGTCCCAAGTTGTCATAAAGTTTGAAACAAGCTGTTAGCAACGTGTAACAAGGTTGATGGCATTAACAGGCTTGTTGCAATGTTGTTCCAACAAGTCCGATACAGTCATGATTAGGGTTGGGCGATATTTTGATTTATCGCGATATTTTCAATCGCGATTATCGTATCGAAGGTAGAAATTTGAGCGACGATATATCGAAATTATTGTCATGTTCGAAGACTATGGTGATATTGCTTCGCATGTGTACATAAAATCCTAAAAAATTCTTTCAGTTCTTAGAAAATATAGTATTTAAAAGAATTAAAACTATTTCCTGAATTAAATACGAATTTAATGCGCCACAAAAGCTAATATTTATGTATTAATTAATCCACTGAACAATGAAATTGCAGGCTTTGCTTGGGCTGTGTACGTGGACACAGCATTTGTGCCAGCGGAGACACAGTAGATAATGCATCTGATACAGTTCTGGTTTATGAACAGTAAATATTAGACTAGAAAAAACCTTGATATTACTTTAATTTGTTGTTTTTACTTGTTTTTTAATAAGATTATATATAAGCTTACTATGCTTTGATATTAGTAATTAAAATTGAAAAATGTCATTTTTTTAATATCGCCCAACCCTAGTCATGATATAAAAATATTGCTACAACCTCGTTAGCCTGCGTGCAGGCCCAAGGGAACTTGATAGTGGGCCTGCAACCATCGCCCGGTATTTTGAAATACGCCCCTTTTCATAACACGCCCCATTCGCGCGTCAATTGTCAAAAAAGAACCAATGACAGCACCCAAATATTAACAAACAAACTCGCATTAAAATGTTGCGGGGTTTTCTCTGCTTATTCAGAACACTAATAAACAATGTGTAAATGGCTGCGTTTTAACTACAAAAAAGCAAGCAACGCAGTCAGTAATTGCCAAATTTGCAAGTGCTCATTTTCAACTAAAATCGGAACAGGCAAATTAGGACGAATTTCAACAGAAAACCAGTCTCAAACTTCAAATCATGAGGGAAGTCGGGCGACCACATTAGGTTATGTGCTTCGCTGTCGCCATTGGCATTGTTATAAATAAATTGTCTCACTTATCAGATCGTGTGTGCAATTCTTGTTGGCGGCGGAAAGTACGAAATTTATTTCATTTGGTAAAGAACTCTACAAAAGAAGAGAGCGTTCCGAGTCCAGATCGTTTCGTTTCAAACGGCAATTTAATACCGCCTTCTGTTTCGCTCTCTCTGCGAAGCCTTGTAAATCGCAAAGTGTTTCGAATAGGCTTACAGTTCTTTCATGCAACTGCATCTCAACATCAACCAAAAGATAATTTTCTTGAGGAAGTAAGAACACATAACTTATCAACTGAAGTCTGTTTGAAATTAATGAAACTCAAGTAAAGGTTACTATAGTTTACCCCAGTCGTAATGTTGCTATTCCAACACCTCACGACAAGCAATCCCCATTGGCATAACGGCAAAAACATGTCTTCCTTCAAGTAAACAATAAACAGTCTGTTCTTGTTCCATTTGTAATCGAAAAAAGTGATCAATTTTCAAATTTTAAGCTTATCGAGAGCCTTTGTCTATGCTTTTGTGATGAATCACTGTTCCCTTGTGCCTGCACAATGGGCTAGGTAAATTAATTACCGATCGCCTCAGCTAGCCAATGGGAATTTAGCCGGCGGTTCGGCCGGCGAAAATCGAAAACATGTGGTGATGGTTGCAGGCCCACTATCAAGTTCCCTTGGGCCTGCACGCAGGCTACAACCTCGTGTGATCAACCTTGCAACATTCTTGTCATATCATGACTGTATCAGACCTTTTAGAACAACCTTGTAACAAGTCTGATAATGCCATCAAGCTTGTTACAAGTTGTTAACAGCTTGTTCCAAACTTGTTACAACAACTATATAGGAACAAGCAGTTGAAACACAACTTGTCGACAGATGTGTAACAACTTGTTTGCTGACCTGTAACAACTTGTGCGTTTTTACGTATGTAGTGGCCTGTTTTAGACGTCGAATTAACGACGAATTTGATTTGTCGAATTTAATGCTGCTGTAATGTCAAGTTTGTAATTCAAGTCACAAAACTGGCTTACAGTTCGCCAATAGGAGACAAGTCTCAAGACCGTGTCAAAACGGAATATTTTATTTGCAATAGGAAGAGCTATAGTTATTAATTATAAGCCCATGCAGATCAAACGAGGATAAAGCCGGTTACATGACGAGCAAGTTTTCTATATGACAAGTTTTTATGTGACAAGTTTTATTTGCTCGTCTGTACGCGCAACTTTGACATTTTTTCTATGACGTTGGACTGATTTGGGAATAACATATTTGTTAAGGCCCTTTCCACGTAGCATAACGTACCGGTGAGCATGCGCAGCTTGAAGATGGGTTTTCAAATTTACCTATTTCCGGTTGATTCGCATATCAAAATAAAAAGTTCGTCGCAAGTCAACTTGTTAGCGTACTACGAAAGTATTAACCAATCAACATTCACTAAATTTTGAAATTTAAAATTTGTTTTGATACGTTACCGTACGCTTGAAAAGTGGAAAACGGCCTTTAGAATTGCCCAGATCGAGAGAAAGTTTATGGAATATTAATTTGTAGAGTTTATGGAATTGCAATCTCGATTTCCGAACCTGCGATCCTCGGGAAGGAACACGAGGCTCTGGGATAATCCGTTGCCAGAAGCCAGGAATTCTGGCTAAGATTGAACTACGCATTCCATTTCAACGGCCAATCAGATTCCTCCCGGATTATCTCAGAGCCTCGCGTTCCTTCCCGAGGATCGCAGGCTCGGGGAACGAGATTGATGGAATTGTCAAAGTAAACTTGCTGACACATTCACACCAGTAAATAAAATTTGTCATATATGACAACTTGTCATATATAATTTGTTGCATATACACACATGCACTTGGCAAATAAAACTTGTCACATAACAACTTGTCATAGAAAACTTGCTCGTCTGTAATCGGCTTAAGCAGGGCATCGTCATCGTCAATCTATGAGCAAATTATACTCAATAGCTTGAGTATATAAAGTTTCAAATTTGCTCAAAGTTTTAAGTAAGGATTTAAAAGTGAGAAAAATTCGCTCATAAATTTGATTTACTTAATATTTTGAGTAACATGCAGTTATTGATTCATTATTTTAGTATACTAAGGTTTTTGAGTCAAAATGTATTGCAGTGCTTTATGACGATTTAAGTCAGAGCCTGCATCGTCGGGAAACCATAATAAAATATATGTTCATATTACGAAAACCCAACACTGAATTTTCAACTTAAGTTTACTCAAGCGGGGTTTGAACTCGCATATAAACTGAAGTTTAATAACAATGAAATAGAAGAGATTTTTCGTACAATGCCTCTTTTAAACTTCATCGGAAAACAGATCTCAGATACATTGCACATGTCTGTCGATACTGCTATCACTAAGATGATGTTATTCGCAAAGGCTAGCAGACCTAATTCCTATCGACAGGGACGCTGGAACTGGGGGGGGGGCAGGAGGGGCAGCCGCCCCCGTTGCCCTTTACCAGGAGGGGCAAGGGGGCAAAGGTGCCATTTCAATTTAAAGGATTGCCTTAGCGAAATAGCGAATTGTCAGAAATGTTAGTGCAATTCTTTTACGAATTTGCTTCAGAAAACGCAAGAAATGCAGTCATCGAGCTTCAAGAATAGCACAATCGCCTGGCGGAGAACCCCCTCACACCCCTATCATCCAATATTAAATAGAAAACATGATTAGGCGAAGTTCAACTCCCGATGTTTTGCAAACAACTCTTAGTATATATCAATTCAATAGTGCCCTTTCACGAAAATCTGCCCCCCTTGCTTTCACATCGTTCCGGCGTCCCTGCCTATCGAGATCCATGGATACGTATTGCAGACCTTTTGCACATGTCAACGGACCAAACTATAAGGCATTAACTCAATCAAGAAGTGGATTCTACGAGGTGCTCCATCACATTTATGGGGAGGAGGACAAAAGACTTCATGACGATAAATCGTTGGACGGAGGAACTTTAATGTAATGTCATGAAATGTGATGTAATATTCGGCAACAGACCGGGCTGACGGACGTTCTACCAATTGAGCCTATCGAGCTTTAGCCCGGTTCGCTAACATGCGAGTACAAATCCCGTTGGAGTCAACTTTATATGTTGACAACGCATTGTTGCATTTTTCTCATGAATATATTAGTCTAATTCGCAAGTGCACATGCAAGTGCCTTCTTTTCGCTAATGAAAAATCTTGGCCAGGCCGTTTACATTTTCTGTTCATGCCGTTTTAAGTCAGTTCGACATCTTCATGAATCATGTATAGATTTTTGTATAGGTTTTTATATAGGTATACTGCATGCATGCAAGGGAGGGACTGCGAAATTGATCATAAAAGAATTACGCGAGAATTACGGCAGTATTGTGATATCATCAGGGTATATAATAGGCCCTTTTATATGAAACAAATCCCTCTTTTGAAAACAGCTGTATCTCTTAAAAAAGATCTTCAGTTAAAACGATTATCAGTTTAAGCGATTTCCAATATGCTCGCCTCATGTTTGCATTTTTACCACGACAAAAGAAGATTCCCGTTAAATTACTTTAACAAACTAGGATAATCGCATGCAAACTATATATACAAATGTTTAATATACATTGCTCACCTTTGACAAGAATAAAAATACAAGAGATCGTTGAAACAAACGATAAGCCATCCATCTTCAAAAGCGTGCGACCATTATCATAACCCATGCAACATCAATTCTGACAGCTCAGTGTGAAGGTTTTTGATTCCGTTTACGTAAGGCTATAAGCTGATAATACATGCTGAAGGCAGGTGCCACATTCAAAAAAGTGCTCGTCAAACAGAGACAACGTAATATATTATTAATGGATTTTTTCGCCTCCTTATTACCAGATATAACAACTTTTGTGTGATCATTTTGGAGCAATTATGTATTATATACTGCTCTTTAATTCAAACCGGACAGTTCTGTATTCTGTTTGACAACAAATCGGTTGCTAAAATCTTCATATAAACACTATAGCTGCATGATTTTCCAATATAGCTATCGTCAAATTGTCAAAATATAATATATCATTAATGCTCCTTGCTCATTTAATAACTTTTCACACATTTGCTCGAACATTTTGAAGTGCATTGCCACTCAAAATTTAAATCAAAATGCACACTTCTGCTTGACGACAAATCGGAAATTAATCATTTACGCTCAAGTGATCACATGTCGAATTATTTTTTAATCAGTTTGGACAAACTACAGTATAGTACCATGTTCAGTTCGCCAGTGGGAAATGAAATATTTCCTATTTTAATAATTTTGAAATATAATTACCTTTTTTAATTATAAGCCAGGCTGATGTTTTATCAAAAAAATTACGTCTATGCATGAAAGGGGGGGGGGGGATTACCAATTTTAAATAAACTGCAAGTCTGCAGTAAATAATTATTTTGCTTGGAAGGACAAATGTCCGACTTTTTCAACTTTCCTCGGACAATAGACAAATTTGGACAACATTGTTTACATTGTCATTGTTGCTGTATCCAATCCACAACTTTAGATAACTGACATGCCTATAGTTACTGTTGTTCCAGTAAGAAACATAGAATAGAACAAAGGTAACTATACAGTACAGGGTGTATAAAAAAAAAGGAGACCTTTAGAAATCAAGTATATTGTTAAAATTTGAATGCCTTTTCAATTGCACATATGCTGAACCGTATTGCGTGAAATATTGATGGATGCATATATTAGAAAAAGGAGACCTTTAGAATTTGAAATAACGTTTAAACAAAAGATTGTCTGCTCCTGGGAACAATCTGCCATGTGCTTAGCAAAGTGCTCCAGGATTCAAATTATAACAATGGTTGATTTCTAAAGGTCTCCTTTTTCTAATATATGCACTCCATCAATATTTCACGCACTACGGTTCAGCATATTGCCATTGAAATGGCATTCAAATTTTAACAATATGCTTGATTTCTAAAGGTCTCTTTTTTTTTATACACCCTGTATATAAGCATTAGAATTATGTACAGGGTGTCTCAAAAAAACCCAAAATCATTGAAATAACGTATTGTTCGAATTTCAATGCCGTAACACAAAGGATTTTGACAGGGTGATTAATTTGTTTTAAAAAATTAAAATATCTTAGTAAAGTGAACGTTTGTTTGCTCATGGGAATTTAAAAATGCTTCGTAAATTGTAATATGCGTAATATGCATTCGTGGGTTTAGTACTTTATGCCTGACATAAAAAGTTTACGCTGAGTATTACCATTCATTATAGCAGTTATGTCAATCTTTTATGCACTCGTGGGATTAACTTAGTGCTAGGGCATTGAATATCGAACAATACGTCAATTTCAATGATTTTGGTTTTTTTTGAGACACCCTGTATAAGAGTTACTCACTCATCAATAGATAATTCTATAAAGCTATAGTTATACCTTTGTTTTCTATTCTACAGGATGCCCCCCAAAAAACGCAAAACCGTTGAAATACCGTATTGTTAAAATTTGAATGCTCTAGCACTAAGCTGAACGCAAAGTTGCGTAAAATATTGACAAGGGTGCATCTATTAAATATTGACTTTTTAAGAAATTAAAAATATCTTTGTAAAGCGCACGATTTTCTGCTCTAGGGAATTTAAACAGCTTCTTAAACGGTTTCTTTATGCATACAATTTACTTATGTCAAGCTTTGATGCACGTGTGGGTTTAGCAGAGTGCTGAGGCATTCAAATTCTAACAATACGTTATTTGAATAGTTTTCCTTTTTTTGGGACACTGTGTCCCAAAAAAAACCAAAACTACTGAAATAACGTATTGTTAGAATTTGAATGCCTCAGCACTAATCTGAACGCAAAGATGTGTAAAATATTGACAGGGTGCATATATTATAAATATTGACTTATTAAGAAATTAAAATATCTTTCTGCTCTTTCTTGAGAATTTAAAGCAGCTTCTTATATAATTGAACAGTTTCTTTATGCATAAAATTTACTTATTGTCCGACGGCATGAGTAAATATATTATTTGCAAGTTTATTATAACAAAATTGATTTGTCGAAAAATATATATAATTAATTTAAAATCGACATATAAATATATAACAACATTGATTTTGTATTCTTATGTTGTGTACATTTTGTACAATAAGTATAAGATCAACATTCAACATATATACAGAAATGCATGTATTAAAAAAATTATATAAACAATTAAGATCAGTGCATCTGTGACAGCCTCGTAGCCAGATCTGTGACACTTTTAATCTCTGTAATTAAACTCAGCTTCTTATAAATTAGCAAAGATAAACATTTGGAATGATATTAGCAACATATACGCGGTCTATCATGCTGTCAAACGTAGACGGAAATACACACGTTAAGGGGGATTAGTCGGTATAGAAATGAATTTCATCTTGTAAAATTGAGTTTTGAAGTTTGATTAAAAAATGCTTATCAAAATCAACAAACAGCATTACCAGGTAAAATCTCAATTCTGAAGAGCCCGATTTGCCGGGAAGCTCACTTGAGTGCATCGGATGAATTATTTTTGTGTTCATATGTGACTGTTTTTATCTCACCTATATATAATATCTCGCCTTGGTGGGACGACATGTAAACATGGCGGTTTCGAAATATTTTAATATGTATAGTAATTAAACAAATTACACCTTGTGTTACGGTTAATAGTGTCTGTTTAAGTCTATTAATGTTTATTTTTTGTTTGTATTTTCGAATATTGCCGACAATCAATACTTGATTATTATAGGTCGAAAACATATGAAACGTATGCCCGTTTATTCACTAGAAAGTTAATTTCAACATGTGCAACTGCATAAAAATCATTGTTAACTCTAAAGACAAATTGTGTGTGGCAAAATCGACTTAAGTATACGTGGAAATCAATAGAAAACTGTATTTCCACCAAAAAATCTGCATTATGCGAAACCGCTTTGTTGTTGACTTTCCAAATTGTTCATCAAAACCTTGTTAAGTTAAGTTGTACGTAAAATATTGTTTTAAATATTAAGATCACATTGTAAAGCAGTAAAATCATGGAAATAAACCTCTGTTACAGTTTTACGAATAATTTTTCTGTCAAGTTCACGTTTCTAAAATGACAGCTGCTGCAAGAAGTATATAAATATTGAAAAAAAGGCAAAAACAATGCGTTTCGACGAGATAATTTGAGTTTTTAACCGTTTGAGCCGCCATTTTGAATTTGAGCCGCCTTCTTGAATTTGGGTCGCCATTTTTGAATTACGCTAAAATCTTATTACATCAAAAACAAAATTACATAAAAAACAAAATTGATTACAGAATTGTTTAAACATTACTTCCACAAAGCGGAATATTTCACCGAACCCGTTTTTAAACGGCCTTCATGCTAGTACGAGAATTGTAAATATATTGGAGCTTTTATATGGTAGCATAATTTGGACCGCCATCTTGAATCTCGCATTTGTGATACTCACGTTAAAGCGAATACCGTAAACCTCCGACTATAAGCCCTGGGCTTATATACTTTCGTAAGCGATTTTTGATGGGCTTATACAGGAGGGACTTATACAAGGGGGCTTATATACGGGGAAGGGCTAATATATGGACGATCTTTTGTAATAAACAAGTCAGACACAAACAAGTCAGTCATAAACAGGGAAATAAACATGTTTTAATAACGTGCTTTGATTAACATAGTAAGCTATAAAAGACAATGAAAATGTTTTTAAATATCGTTCTCTGCTATATTAAAAGACAATGTCAATGTTGAATAACGTAGTGGGCTACTGGGCTTATATTCGGGGGACTTATATTCGGGGGGGCTTACATTCGGGTGGGCTTATATTCAGGGGGTGGGGGCTTATATTTGGAATGAGGTGAGTATATGTGGTGGGCTTATATTCGGGGGGAGGTTATATTCGAAGGGCCTTATAGTCGGAGGTTTACGGTAC